CCCCAAAACCCCAAAACCCCAAAACCCCAAAACCCCAAGAGAATGCTCGAGATTGAAATCTCTGAATGCAACTATCAGCTGTTCAATATTTTGGCACATGCGTAATCATTAAGACTTAAGGAACTTATTTTAGTGTAAAATATCCACAAATCTCTCAGAATGGTAAGTCTCTTTCTCTCAACAAATAGTTTGATATGAATCAAGGCGGAGGATACTTCGGAGGGGCCAGTGCCATGGACCCTGGGATGAAAAGCAAACCAATGGAGTCTGAGAAGAGAAAATCAAGAATGTTTGTCCCAGTCACTATTAGGATGATCAATGATTCATCCCCAAGACCTGATGATATTTTTGAAATTGATGGAGCCCCCATCAATGAAGTAATTATTGTTGGAAGGATCATCAAGAAAGATGAACAGCCTACTAGAACATCATTTGAGATTAATGATAACACAGGAGCTTTTACTGTTATTTATTATCACAGAGAGGAAGGCCAGGTCCCAACTGCTCTCAAAGATTTTGTTTATGAGTAAGTAAACACTTATATCATTCTTTAGGCAATTTTGTTATGTCAAGATATATGGAACTATCAGATCATTCAAAGAGCAAAAGGCTATCGTTGGAACTCATATTCATAGGATAGTTGACTATGATGAACTTACTAATCATCTGCTACAAACCTTTACAAGCCATTGCATTAGAAAGAAAGGAGTTTTATCTGAAAAAGAACTTCAAGGGCATACTGGATCAGGAAAGAAAGCTGAGAGAAATCTAGATGAAACCAAAAAGCTTATCCTATCAACAATCAAAAATCTGACTAATAATGGCGGTGGTCTTGTGTACAGAGAGAAGGTTAGGTCTATCCTTTCTGGAAAGATGGATGAGGCTGAGTTCTCTAAAGGCATCGACTCACTTGTCGATGATATGCTATTAATCTCGACTGATAACAAGCAGACCTTCACATTGGTCGTAAAATAATTTCAATGATGATGTTCTTTGTGGGGTTTTGGGGTTTTGGGGTTTTGGGGTTTTGGGG